CAGTACCCTGTTCTTTCGGCGATAGCTCGGAATATATGGCGAGGAACGAAATATCTTCCTCTACGCGTCCTACATTGCCTCCATAGATAATGTTATTGCGGATAATGAATCGCGTATTTCTGATACCGAAACTAAGTAGTCTCTTTTGGACTGTGCTTTTCAGTTAATTCATCGACAATTTGGTCCTTTTGCTATTGATCTCTTTGCATTTGTCCTTAATGTTAATATTAATATTAATATTAATCATAATATTAATATTAAAAATAATATTAATTTAATATTAAAAATATTAAAAATTAATATTTTTAATATTAAAAATCATCTCTATGTCTCTTGGTTCTCCGATCATGAGCGATCGATGCCTTTACTCTTGTTTGGCATCGTTTTTATTTATGCTTTCTCTTCGTTCATCTTGCTCTCTCGTGTTTTACGGAAAATTATTGATGATAAGACTGTCGGCGTTCTCGTTGTACTTTGGTGGCCTGCACAACCTTAATTCCCCACCTTCCGCCGCCTACAATAATTTCTAAACCAATTTTTCTGCCATTATCCTATTCCCTTTTATCTTTTCCTTTTAGGGATCATCATCCAAAGTAGCGAAATCTTCCTCTGGCTGCAGGGAAGTTATCCGGGAGGCCTTCTGGTCCCAGTCAATCCCATCCTCCGCCTTAGACACTATTCTCGCCTTTTTGACTCCTGCTACGTTGAAGCAGTATACTCGTCCGCTCCGCTCTTGGTGGGTTTTTTGTCGCCAACATGAAATGTCTTCATTCCCTCCGGACATTTCCCTTTTTCTAAAATTTTTATCTTTGAAGTTGCAACATGTCGGTTCGTATTCCACTCTAAATACGACTCGCTCGGCGATCTCTCTCATTTCTACCCGGAAAATTGGGGACCATTCTTTAGTTAAAAGATTTTGTAAAGGAGCCAACTTCGTAAAACCCCAACGACTCCGTTATTATTTGGGTTCCGGCACCGGTAATTTCTCATTTAGCGGCCATTTTTCCTTATGATTCAGTTCCGCTTGACAAGGTTTCCATGAAGCTGGTTCTTCTTTTAGCTCTTGGTTCGGGTCAGCGCACACAAACGATCACCTCTTTAAAATTAAAATTTCACAAATCTAGCTTTCGCAGGATAAACTTCTCATTCGCATCCCAGACCGTATTAAAACATCGGCCCCAGGACAGTCGCAGCCATTACTAACATTTTCTCGGTTCTCCGACCGCCTGTCTTTGTGTATTGCCCTTCTCTTAGAACATTATTTAAATATTATTTCAGATTTACGTTTACCACTTTCCGATGCTTTGCTTATAGCCTTTAAGAAACCTCACCAGTCTGTTAGCGTGCAGACAGTCAGTCGTTGGATTAGACAAAGTCTGAATATCTGTGGCGTACAAACAACTATTTTTTCCGCCCATAGTACTCGCCACGCTTCCACTTCTCTTGCGGTTAAGAATGGCGTGTCCTTTGATTTAATTAAACGCGCTGCGGGTTAGTCGGGTACTCCCTTTTTGCTAATTTTTATCATCGGCTGATTCTTAACAGAATCGACAGATTTTGTACTTCTATTCTCTTATCATAAGCATTGTTTAATGTATTGTTGTGTATTTTCCTTTCATTGTTCCCGTTAAAGACTATTGTAATTCCTTTTCATTTAATTCTTTGTACGACCTTATTATATAAAGTTGATTACTCGGCAAATGGGGCTCTTTCTCCATTCTTTAAACATCTATATAGTTTATCCATCCGGACGAGACACCTTGGCATAATTGTAAGATTAAACGAACTTACTAAATGAAGTTCGATCTTAATTATGCCTGGTGTCTCGTCCGGATGGACTTTCCTCACCTTCAAGACTTGCACGTCTTGTTTTCCCTCCCTAACTTCTCGCCTTCGGTCAACGATTTGCCTTCTTTAGATTTAAACTTAATGAGGGGATCGGGCGCAGGATACGTAACGACACCAAATGAATGCCGCCGCTGCAATTTTTATTTTTTACTATTTTACTATTTTTTACTATGAACTGTTGATAATGCAGGGCAGGGGCATGACTACATAGTTTATCCATCCGCACGAGACACCAGTTCGTTTAATCTTACAATTATAAAACGGATGCTACAGTTTCATTGGCCGTTCGGTGAAATTAGTCTATTCTGAAGACGTCAATTCAGTTATCGTGGTTTTTATGATTATTATGGCAACTCGATCTCTTCTTGAGAAAGAATTGGTAGCATTAGTGAATACATCTGACAGTGAAGAAGACATTTTGGAAGAAGAAAATTATGAATAAAGACAGCATTCATTCTATCTCAGAATCGAACGATACTTCAATGATTGAAGGTGAGATTAAAGATGCTCAATCGAAAGACAAAAAATCACATGGAGTTTAAAACCTTTTCCATAACACGAAAAAGTGTTTTGCGCAAACATAATCAAATTGATACTTAGTTCAACCAGATATGCTACTTCCAGAGTAAATAATATAAAATATCTTTTTAAGTAATTATGAACAATATCCTTGAGAATATTATGTTGAAAATAACAAACATTTAAGGTCGAAGAGTGTATGATGACAACTAGGAAGAATTTAATACAATTACACTCAAAACATATTTGATATCCTGTTATTGGCTAGTATTAAAGATATTTTAGTGTGACGACCCATTTTCAAAATCCGATTACTGAAAATTTTAAGCAAATGATTAAACCTACAGAGTTAATATTTTGTACTGATATTTACTCATCTTTGAAAGAACATCTCAAATTTTGTTGAAGCTTTTTATTCAAAATTGGAGAAAATACTGTATAAAGTAAAATAGCTAAATCTCAAATAAGGTAGTTATATCTCAAGTGTACACTGACAACATAAAAATAGTTTAGAAAAGATAAGTATTAGAAAAGAAACAATAAGATTTCTTTTTATTCCTAAAAAACATTTTTGTGATAGTTTCTTAAAGTTCTTTTTGTCTAAAAAGAAATATTTTATCAAGTATTTTTTTCTAATAGCACTTTAACTCATGAGAAGAGTTATAAAGTCTCTAGAAATCGCTTAAAATATTTCTGAAATATGTATGTATTGCTTGGGCTACAAAACAACAGTATTTCTAATTACTGTTGTTTTTCAAACAGCTATTTCTTTCGCCAATCTGCTATCAGAGTGAAGAAGCTTTATACATATTCTGCCGTTAATCTACTGTCAGAACCTGTCAGCAGGATCTCCGCGCCTTCTATTGCTAATATATTGTCAGATTCTGTCGAAATAAGCAGATTGAAAACACAAATTACTATGAGGATCTGTCGATAATTGTCTCGAATCTGTTGTTAATTTGTCATCAAACTGCTGACAGATTATTTAGTATACCAACCCATAAGTAGTCGGACATATGAATGATCTCCAAGATCCCTTAATCTGATTCTACATGACTTTTTTCATGAGGTTATGCAAAAGAAAAAGTTTATGCAACTGAACTAACTAGAGAATATGAAAGAACGTGTTCATGAAGCTTTAAAGAATATAACACCAGATGCTCTTGAGAAAGTACATGAAATGTTTTCTTCATGATTACTTTTATGTATTGAAGAGAGTAGAATGCTCTCGAGAAGTTTGATCTGGGACATCCCGTACAGTAATAAGATCTTATTGTTTTAATAAAAAGAGAAGATATATCCATTTGGGAAGTAACGCGTTACTTGTAACGACGTTACTATTTCGTTACTTTTTTTGGTAACGCCGTTACTTTTTTGTATCAGTAACGAAAAAGTAACGACGTTACATTTTCTGTAATAACAAGTAACAAAATTCATCGTTATTTGTATCGCTACTTTTTTACTATAGTGACTTCTGTACACAGAACGCGGCAACGCTTGTCACGCGACAAAAGTTTGCACACGATAAACAATTAATGTGCTGCTTTCCGTAAAGCCCATTCTACAATAAGCAATAAATCTTAAGTCATAATAAAATTGACCAATCATAGTCGACTATTAGAAGAATAATCCACTGTAATTAGTCAATTTTATTGCGATTTAAAACTTATTGCTTATTGTAGAAAGCCTCTAAAGCGTGGTCTACAATGAGAACTTAAGCCATAAAATTTAAGTTTTAAGCTCTAAGCCGTAAGAAATTGACTGGTCAATTATTTTTCTTATAATTGACTGTGATTGATCAACTTCTTACGGCTTAGGACTTAAAGCTTAAATTTTATGGCTTAAGTTTTCATTGTAGACTACGCTTAAGGGCGCCGCACACACAATTGACATAACGTAAGACATACCGTAAGAATTGACCAATCAATTTGAGTATCGTCGAACCGTAAGGTCGCCATTTTTGTGAATACTCGATTGTAATTGGTCCATTTTTACGATACGTCTTACGTTACTGTTATGTCAATTCGTGTGCGGCGCCCCTAAAGCCCATTCTACATTAATCGCAATCGCAAGATCGCAAGGAAATTGACCAATCGTAATTGATTATTCTTCGACCGCAAGAAGAACAATCGACTATAATTAGTCAATTTCTTTGCGACCTTGCGATTTGCAACTAATGTAGAATGGACTTTATGATATGCAAGAATGTGTGCTTCCCGCTTAAATATCTTATATTTTGTCTTTATATATGTATAATTTATGTACTGTCTCTCTTATTATTTGTTTTATTAGCCGATTTTAACTTTTTTTTTACAAAAGTAATGGAAAGTAACGATTTTTTTATCATTACTTTTCAAATAACGATAACGCGTTACTTTTTAGAATCAGTAACGAGTAACGGTAACGAGTTACTTTTTACCGCAAATAACGGTAACGGTAACGCGTTACTTTTAAAAAGTAACGTTCGCAACCCTGGATATATCTTATCTTTTTATACACATAAAGTTATGATTACTAACGTTGCAGTAACACTTACTACAAAAATGATTTTTTTAATTCTTTCACTATATGATTATAGTTATAAATACCAGGCATTTTTTCTCAATACAATTTAAAACGCTTTCAATCCGTACCTTTCAAATGACTGACCACTACCGAGTTCTTGATGTCGACGCAGCCAGGTTGTTCTCTGCCGCCGTTGGGGAAGAAGTCGATGTGTCCGATCGGCTTAAGCAAACCGAATCCGTCCGTGAAAACTTGCGAGCCGTCCGTATGAATGACGTCAACGAGACTGGCGTCGGTGGCGTCCAGTTTTCTCGACTTCTCCCTGAACAAATGATGTCTGAAGAACGGTGAAGCTGGGTCGAGGCCCGTTATGCGGCCGAGCAACAGATTTTTATTCTTCAGAACCTCCGAGGCGCAACCGGCCACGTGGGCGCCTAAGCTAAAACCGATTACGTGAATGTTTACAGGACTAATTCCTATGTTGATGGTATCCAAAAAAATCAAAGCGAGTTGTCGGCCGACTAACTCGCTATTCGCCACTGCGGCTCCATAAGTAGAGCCGGCACCCTTCGTCCAGTCCGGGATGATAATATTTACATCTTCCTATAAATGAAGCACAGAGTATGAAATTCAAGAGGTAGTAGAGGTCTCTGCTTAAAATGATGGATAAAAAACGACAAGATTGCATTACGTTCGGTCTGAATTTTAATGTAAATCAAGCATCTTATTGATTTACATTGATTTATTTTTAAATTTAGGTTAAACCTTAATATTATCATTTTATATCTATCATTTCAAACAGAGATGTAAATTAATCTTATTTGAGACAGACTGCGACTAATTAATACTGGTTTAAAATAAAAGAAAAAAAGAAAGAGCCATACAGAATAGAAAATCAAAATGACATCAAAATAATAAAAAAACTCGCTTCTCAATCATGATTCGATCATTTTCTCGTCATTTTGATATCACTAAAATTTTTTGTTCTGCTAAGTAAGATATAAAAAAGTTGAACGCTGGATATTAGTACGAATTAAATTATGGGAGGATAATTATGTTTAACAGTGTATATTAAAATGGTTAAATTGATAAAGAATTAATAGAAGATAATAATGAATTAAGTATTCCTCTTTTTTCTCTAGATATCTCATGAAAGTTAATGAAAATAAATAATTAACGAAATAAATCGTTAAGCATTACTATATCAAGGAGTAAATTCACGCTAAGTATGACGCTGACGTCGCTCCCGCTGCCCTTGAAACCATGTATCATCACTTTGAGCGGGTTGGAAGTGTTAAAGTGAGAATGCAAGATGGATTTCAAGTTGTCACCATATTCTAGGAGTTCTGGGTTCTGTCGGTTGGCACGTGTGTAGAGAAAGAACTTGGTCTGAATTACGTTAGGATGCTCGGGTGGTCGTTTTATTGAAAGATGCGAGGGTGGGACTGCAAAACAACCAACTAAATCTGAAAAGTTTTACGAATTTCATATTAGAAGAGAAATTCATTTTCTTTTATAAAAGATTAGAAGAATTAATTTCTTTATGAAGAAAAAAGAATATTTATATGTAGTTCTGAAAAACTCGTTGCACTGGTCGTAAGAGAAAGAAACAGTTAATCTTACTTAAAATTAGAGACATTTTTAGTGTCAAACCGTATCTGTGTATTGTTCTGATAAAAAAGTGATAATAGCAATAAGATATAAGATATAAGATTAGTGTTATCAGAAACACACTAGCGCTCATTACAAATATGATTTTTTTACTGCAATTATTTCACTATTGCAATCAGAGTTATAAAAATATAATTTAAATTGTTTTCAATGTAATAATTGATTTGAACAAATATGTTTCAATCATGGACATAATATACATGGACTCCGAATGCCCTATCATCTAATAAAGTGAAGACATCTAGAAAGAGAGCTAAAATAGAGGGGCTATAGTTTTCTTCCTATTTTGTCACTTTTTTGTTGCGCGTATCCATTTCTTGTTTCTATAATATTATAAAGCGCAACAGCACCTCGACTAGACTGGCAAGTAAAAGTCTTACTTAAATCTTATTGCACACTTTGTCTGTGTAGAAAGAGATAAAGAACAGAAGGGCTGTACATATTGGCTTCTCTTTTCTGACTGTATGCGGAGTCCATGTATATTATTGTCTATGGTTTCTTTCGACATGTTGGCTTCACTTTTCTGGCCGTATGCGAGGTCCATGTATACTACGTCCATGGTTTCAATTCAGCTATTTGACGATTAATTAAACAAATTTTATCAAATATTGTTTAATTGACGATTGATTTCAACGAATTCAATTGAATTCAAGGACAATTCAATTGACGGTTGATATGAGCAAAGAGAACCACAAGTCCCTCAATTAACGATTAAACTTAGAAAATTTAAAAATCAAAAACTGTTTAATTGACGATTAATATGAGCAAATTTAATCGAAGACCGTCACTCGGTGACGATTGATATAACCCGAGTTCTTCTCAACGTGACTTCTATACTGCTATGATTAATATATCCATATTCTCTAAGGTTAAAGAGAAAATTTATGCAATTATAAGTTAAATAGACATAGTAGGACCTCGTAATAAATCCGATTTTTAGGAGTATAAGACAGACTTATAAGGTCTGTGTTGTGTTCAGAAATCCAAGTCTGGGTTAGAAGGATAAGTCATAGTCGTTCAGAAATTAACTCAGGTAAGATAAAGTAATCCGTTAGTTGCGTTAGAAATACTGAATAAATTTTATAACATCTACCCTGGAATAGGTTTTGAAACCTCTGAATTTTCGAAGATTATCGGAATAATTTCCCACTGTTTGGCACCAATTACGAATAGGAAGAATTCCAATAGCAAGAAAATGAAACAAAACATTGAAGTATCTATTTTTAATAATGCTATTCCTGGACGCATCACGTCCCATATCGTCTGAAAAATAGCAATTTAATCGTTCAAAATTACATGATCCTACCAGTTGATCAACATGACAAGCAGATATCTCTGTTTTTCTATGGTTCTAAATATTAAGTTATGATTTTATCTAATTTTATTTAGAATTTTTATTCAGTATAAAATTTAGTATACTTTTTAGCTTGTTATATTTGAAATGCAGCTTCTATAAATAAATTCAAACCAACCTTTACAGAATTATCATACTGAGAATCATTGATTAATTATTTATTTTCAGTATTAAAAATACAGTAGTAATATTTTGTGATTCAAATATAGCTCTTAGTGCTCAAGTATTTCAGTGTTTAGTGTTATAAATATTACCTTATGATTCAATACTTAAATATTTATTTCAATACTTAAATAAATATGTAATACTTCGTTCGGTGATAAAATACTTACATAGAGCATTGTCAGTATTTAAATACTAATATGTAATACTTTGCTAAGTGATGAAATAATTACGTAAAGTACTCAAAATTTAAAGTATTAACCCAGACAGCACACAATATTAATGATACATATTTATAAATATTTATTTCGAATTATTTTTTTTTAATATTATATAAATATTTTATAAATATTTTTTTATATACGTAAAAAGGGGAAAGTATCAAAATCTTTATTCAAAATATTATTAAAATGTAGACTAAATATTTTATACAATATCTATAATATGATAAACAAAAAATAAATATTAGTAGTAATATTTTATAAATATTTTTTTATATACGTAAAAAGGGGAAAGTATCAAAATCTTTATTCAAAATATTATTAAAATGTAGACTAAATATTTTATACAATATCTATAATATGATAAACAAAAAATAAATATTAGTAGTAATATTTTATAAATATTTTTTTATATACGTAAAAAGGGGAAAGTATCAAAATCTTTATTCAAAATATTATTAAAATGTAGACTAAATATTTTATACAATATCTATAATATGATAAACAAAAAATAAATATTAGTAGTAATATTTTATAAATATTTCAATAAATATTAGACATGAAAAAAATAAAATAAATATAATTATTTATAATTATTAAATTAATGAAGAAATAAAAAAATATAAATTAAATTCGAACATGAGACCTCTGGTTTTTGAGTTGTACCTTACCTACTATACCACTGTCACTTTGACTGAGAGACATTTCATATTATATACATATGATATATCCATGTATGAAAACATATCATTTATTTAAAAGAAGAAAATAATTGGTAATAATTTTGATTTAAATTGGTAATATATACACTAAAAAAAAATTCTTTAAATCAAAGAAATATATTTTGTTAAGTAATTTCTTAACTTAAAAAATATATTTGTTAGATTTTAGAAAGTATGTAATAAATAAAAAATAATATTTTTTTAAATTTAAAATAAGCTGTAAAAGCTTATATTTAAAATAAGATGTAAAATTATGAATTTTTAGATAAAAAATTATTTCTTTGATTTAAAATATCTATATATAAGATTAAACAAATGACTTCCTTACAAGAAGAAAATTAGTTTTTTTAATGTAAAAACTGTATTTCAATAAATATTTGTTTGTTTTAAAAGTAAATAAAATACAAGTAAATTATTTCATAAATCTAAATAAATTATTTTCTAATATTAAAATTATCTTTCTTGTGTTTCAAATTAAAGTCTCTTTTATTATCAGAAAACAATATTTATTTAAATGTATAAAATAATTTATTTGTATTTTATTTACTTTTAAAACAAGTAAATATTTTTTTAAATATACTTTTTACATACTTTTTAAATATACTTTTTACATACTTTTTAAAAACATACTTTTTACATTTAAAAGGATTTATTCTCTTCTTTTAAATAAATGATATGTTTTCGTACATGAATATACCATATGTATATAATACGAAATGTCTCTCAGTCAAAGTGACAGTGGTGTAGTAGGTAAGATGTACAACTCAAAAACCAGAGGTCTCATGTTCAAATCTCAGCAATACAGCACGAAAGCTTTCAACAAACATTACTACAACGTTGTAGGATTGCATATTGCTGTGCAATGTCGCAGAAACATTGCAGTTACATTAATTTGCAATATTATTTTAGCAATATTACAGCAATATTTCAAAAATATTACGAATATAATATAATATTTTTACTAATATAATATAATATTTTTACTTATTTACTAGTTATTTATGTTACTTGTATTTCAAATTCAGTCATGTTTCACATCAATAGTACTTATAGAATAGTACTTGTTAGTGACAGTCATTAATAATAGAATTTGTCTTATTGCAAATTTCTTATACTTCTTATACAGTTTTTCAGAGAAAACACTTTCTTTAGATTTAATATTCATACTTGTTTAATGTTGTGGTTTTTTTTGTTTCATTAAAATATTATATTCTTAAACGAAATATCATTTTTTAAAATGATGAAAATAAAAATTTTTATTTTGTTCAAAGAAACCATGTCATTTGATGAAACAACACTATTGTTTTAAATAGTATTTTTTAAAAGTTTTCCTCAAAATTTAGTAATTCGATTTGTTTAATATAGATTTGCTTCAAATTTTTTTATTTTTTTGTTTGGATTAATCATTATAACATTCTGTTAAAAATTTAAAAGTAATTATCACTGATTCACTACATTACATCAATATTCATTACATATCGAATGTTGTTGTATTGTTTCAATATCTATCAGCAAATTATCCAACAAACACCAAGCAAAAATCATATAACCATTATTTAGGGTTTGTTATGTATGTTATACTGTAAACACTAGAAGTATACATTATATAAGCATAAATCGTAAGAATATCGTTGAAGTCACTAAGAATCGCCGCATGTCGCTTAATCGTCAGGTAACACTTTAACGGAGTCAAGATATGGATGAGTGAGAGGTGGTATACCGCTTGGGATCGAAATTATCGAGGGAGGATTCACGAAAGTTTGGAGTATTGACAATCTTCGATACCTAGTAGTTTATGAGATATGAGAAAATTAGGAATATATAAATATATTTTTTTAAATATTATGATTTTCTCATTTTTCACCTTCGCACAACAATTCTCAGTATTACTATCAATATTTAATAGTGATTTTATTATCAGTATTCACCAGAAATTAAGTACTGGCCAAAAAATTACTGAATTACTGATAATACTTAATCACTAATAATTTTTCAGTACTTTTTAGTATGATATTTCTATAAGAGAACTCGCTGGAAACAGCCAGGAATGTGTCTGTGCACATAGCAGACACTACCACTCAGTTGACCGTAGCATTGCATAGACGCATATTTTTAGAAATTACGAGATATATACCGAAAATAATACACGCGCGTGTAAATAAATATTTCTTTCTTTCAGTTTTTTGTTCTAAATTTATATATAATTACTCAAAGAAATTGATTTATATATATAACGAGTCTAGTTCTTATGAATAATGAATATTTATTTATATAATGAGTATAGTTCTTAATATAAACTGACATTTCTTTTTCAATTATGTCTCCTTTTATTTATATACCGCATACTTTTTTCATAAATGGGTCAATAGGGAAGACAGACTAATTTCGCTTCGAGGCTTTATGACACATGTGACAACCAAAATCGGTAGAAAAAAATTTACTTTTTTTGCATTCTTTTCAAAATTTAATGAAGATTTGAGCAGCAATCAAATTTATACTCTAACTACTAACGAAAATTATCATCATGATCCGACATCGTCTATATCTGGTTTAATATTAACACTTGAAAAAATAAGACCTCCAGCAAAAGCACTGCATCAAGAAAAAAGAAAAAATTCTTGCAAATAATATAGTACAATGTATAGAGATTCGCTCGAAAAAGATGTTTTTCTGGAGCAAAAGCTCTCTAATCAAAGAAAAAAAAAAAGTATAAGGAAGAAAGAAGAAAAAAAATCGAAGAAAAATGTATAAAGAACAGAAAAGAAATCAGCACAGAAAAGATAAGAAAAGAAAAACAACTATTGACTAAAAAGACTATAAGACAAAAATAATTTAATAGACCAAATTCTTTATCCTCGGATGACACAAATGATGAAATATGCCTCATTTGTACAAAGCTCTACCCGAAAAATATTACAAGAGAAGATTGAATACAGTATATTAAAATGTAAAATTAGACATAAATTCTAAATGCATAAATAAAAACATTCTGTATTACGTATGTAATTATAATTCAGATTACGATAATGATTAGATAAGAGCATTGTTAACATCCAATACAAAGTAGCAAAGTAGCAATTTATGATTATTTATTGAGACTGTGATGAAAATTATACTTATCTAATGACTATGTCTAATGACTCTATATTATAATAAAAAAGTTATAACTGATGTTTTATTTCATTAAAGATGTTACTGCACTTTTTTATTTGATAAAAGATAATTTTTACTGCAAACATTTAACCGTTTCAATAAAGAAAAAGTATTATTTTGTAGTAATTAGTAAAATAAAGAATTGAACTATTAATTTTTATTTTATTTAAGGTTTAATACTTGTTATAGAATAACTAACAACTAAATTGTTAGTACTGTACAAATTTATATTTGCAAAAAAAGATACTTGAACATGAATAAATTATATATATATATATATATATATATATATATATATATATATACATATATTTTTTTTTATTTATTTATTTATTTATTATTTTTAATTTCCTCTAAAATAGATTTTAAATTTATTATATAATCTATAAAATAGATTAGTTCGCACTCAATTATACCTTGTCTTTTCCTCTCTGTTTCTTTCTCTCTCTATAGGCAATGTATGTCATACTGTGGGTCGTTCTTTGTTCCCCGATCCTGCAACTTTTAAGTCGCTTGCAACGGTTTAGAAGAACATTATTATTTTATATTTTTAGTAGTTAGTTTTTATTTATTATAAAAAACTATTCATGAAAACTTATAAAAAATTATCTAGATAGTCAAACGTATATCAGTATCTGATGTAATATGCAATTCTTCGATAAGTCCCTCAGTTTTAACTGTAAAAATTCGGAACTAAAACGTTGGTCTACAATCTCCGGTCTCTCCTATGTTGTATTTCGGTTCGGTTATATCAATATTATTTTGGTTCTAAACGAGATATTATATTTTAAATTTGTTGTATCAAAGATAAAGCAACATTGAAAGTACTTTAATGGTTATTGATCTTACTCGATGCGTTCAGTAAGTTGTTTAACTAGGTATTACTCGAGTTGGGTTATTAGCGTAATCACAATTAACCCTACTTTACCCAACGGATTAGATCTCTGAACGTATTCTAATGGACAGTGACGTAGCCAAAAAAAAGTTTCGGAGGGGCTGTACTTTTTATTTTTGACGAGGGAAAAAAAGGTCATTCGAAAAAATTTTTCTCACACTTAGCGTAACCCAGAAAATTAATTTCGAGGGAGGGGGCTACAATCCCCTCAACTCCTCTCTGGCTACGCCACTGCTAATGGGGTCTCTCTTTACGATCTCATATGATCGTCATTACACGGATAGACAAAGAGTGTATCCAGTACTACCACCGCTCATTGAGCGCTCAGTGAGCTTTTGCATATTCTTCTGATTTGCATATTCCTTTAGATTAAACATATACATTAATCAGATGCAAAAGCGCTCAATGAGCGGTTGTAGTATTGAATGCATCCAGTGGAGTGCTATAATGTGGAGGAGACTTTAAGTAGTGTTAATGAAAATATATATAGAGGAGAACGGACTTATAACAAGGTGGCTTATAACGGGATCCTACTATATTGCATTAAAAGTTGCTGTTATTATATAACCTTCTATACAATTTTCACAGACATAATATGATACGTATAGTTCGATACGTTAGTATATTCTCACTTATAGTTGCTTCAACTAAAAGAATATTGTTGTCCTTACGTTGTAATCTGCAGAATAAATACTATAGTTAAGAGATTCATAGAACTTGATTCTATTATACAGCTCAGAGTACTCACTCAAACACATGTGGACCACTGTTCAAACACGTGTGGACAGAAAACCAGCGTACCATTGTTGTTAATTGTCAATTAAATCGTCTTTGATTGAATTAATTGATTGTCAGTTAAGCACAATAATTAATTAAAAACATAATTAATTACTCGCAACTCTAATTGCAATTATAGTCACAAGAATCGAATACTTTTCTCTCAATACATATAGTTTAAAATTTGAAATGAAAAGAATCTTCTTCTAGACTATTAGAATTCTAGAACATTTAAACTTTTCGAATATTTAGATGTAAAACATTTAAACATTTAATATAATCATTTTTATTTCGTGTTTAGTAAAAAATTAAATTAAATTGTCCTCTTCCTTTACAGAAAAGTATTACTGATAATTATTAAAAAAAATATTAGTGATCAATTATTGTTCAATGATTCAGTGATTATTTGACGAATTACTACATAGTGATAAATTACTATTAGCATAGTAAAATATACTATACAGTATATTTTTAATAGAATTGCTACAAATTTACCTAGAATGATTTAAACAACCTAATGCTTGATTATTTTATTAAATAATAAAAAAGTTAGTATTTTATATTTTATATTTTGCGTTGTTGCGTGATTTCGAAATTTTGTAGCGGCACTCATCCTTTCTCACATTACGCTATTCGCTGCTTGACCTGAATAATTGAATTGGAATTAATGATGCTAATCAGCTGTAAGGATACCTTAGTAAATTATGCTTATAATATGTTTTTGCGTTATTCAAAAAACATTGTAATGTCATATTTATTAGCAAATGTTGGAAACGATGCAATAATAATTTGAATGTGACTGATATTAATATAATTTATATTAGCGAACTATTAACTACATGATTACTTTTAGATTTTTAATTTAACATTATGATAAACTACAACAAATAATAAGTTAGTTTGAAAAATACAAGATATGAAATAATTTATACCAATCATGAGAAAATTAGTACTTATATTTCTTGTTATAAGAGATAATAACATACACTATAATTTACACCAATAGTTCATTAGAAGAAAATAATATATCAGTGGAAATAGTACATTATCACTGTCGTCATAATCACTGAATTACTCTGTAGCATCAGTAACCCTATAATGTAAGTATTAATGAGCAATAATAATTTATTACTGACCAATCAGTTATACCTTTCTGTGAAGTTTTTACTCTTACCGTAACAGACTTTAGATTTCTCCTCGCGAGAAACGGCGATCCGTCTTAACATAGCACGATTCCGGGTCACGAGAAGTTTAGCTGTAAAGATAAAAATCGATGCTCCACATTGAGAATTTTTAATTACCAAATTAAATAATGTCTCCAAACGCTATAACAGCCGATGTTTTTATCTGTCTCAGCGCGTACACTTATATATACCTCCCTTCCACTTAACGAGAGAGAATTATTATTATTCGCACTATGTCACTTGAATACGATTCGCATGCCAGAAAATGCAATATCCTGCGCGTTCGCATAATTCCGTCCATATTGTGATATTATCGTTGCATCATATAATTGAGCTACGATCTGAAAGTATGTCGTATATAAATGTAGTTTTCAGCCACAAAGTACGTTGTAAACTTTCTCGGATACATATTTCACGAATTTCGTTGCGTACAAGCCGAATAATTTCATTCTACCGTTAAGGAAAGCAATTATTCAATGTACTTTCCTTTTTTATGTAATGATTATCTTTAACAAAGAATATTTTCTTGTTAATAGTCTTGTTAATACTCTTAAAATATACTCATAATAAACTTGAGAAAAACTCATTTTTATCATGTAACTATTAAATTTATTAAAAGTTTTTAAGAGCCAATTTGCAGAATCCGAAAACAAAAAAATTTATTCCTTACAAAAATATTATAAAACTTTATCAAACAAAATGTAAATCCGTATTTTATGTAGTGAGAGAATTGAATTTTTGTTTTAATTTAATATTTTTAATTAAAATGTTAAACTTACTATAGAATTCAGAATATATTTTGAATAAATGTTATGTTTATGATAAACTTACTTACTAATCACAAATTTACGGATATACAAATTTATAAAATACTTTGAATAAGTGCAATGAGGAAAAATATTTTAAAATTTATTTGTGAAATATAAAGTTTATTTCTGTAAAATAAAGTTTATTTCTATAAAATAAAGTTTATTTTTGTGAATAAACTTTGTATCTCACAAATATATTTTCAAGGGAAGAGTATTTTTTCTCAATGTAATATTTATATTAATATATCTACAGATTGTACAATTCATGTACGCAATTAATAATAATTAACATAATTTTCATTGTCGTTGAGCTTTTGCTACGCATTTAAATGACCCGAGTAGAAATATAACTAGCTGGCCTGAATAAAAAACTAATAGCTAGCTACTACAAACTAGATTAAATTTTCTAGTTCATTACAAATTCGTTATTAGTTGATTATTCACTGAAATATAAAATCGTGTTTGTGATCTAGCAGTTGTCTAGTCATTACATATTAAATATAACAAACTAGATGACACTGTCTATTCTAAAATATATAATCTACCTTCTGTACCATTAGCATTACATAAAATTACGCAACAAATCAAAATTAAGGTTAGGTTATGTTGATTTCACAAAAATCAACACTGATCAACAAAAAAGAATTGTTCGTAACATTACTAATTAGCAACTTATTTATTTAGTCACTAGGAGAAATGAACGTTATATTACTAGCTATTGATGTTGAACAAATTTATTATCTCGTAGACATCGACGAGATTCAATTTCTACTAGAAAACATGGCATTTTAAGCGTTTAACTTTTTAATATGCATGTGCTTTATCATGGTGGTTACCACCTTATAAAAAAATATTTATCAATAAAGACAATTTATATAATCGTTGTATAATATTATAATTTATATAATAAAAATAAATTTATGGATTTCTCTACAATTATTGGAAGAAAGGTTATAGAATTTTTACCTCGATAAATTTCATAACGAAACCGGTATCTAATTAGGAATTGTTTTTTAGTAATATTAAAAAAAGTTTTTACTATTGGATATTACATGTATTCTGAAATTTATAGAAATAAAAATATTACAAATTTTTGTCCACTGACTGTACAAAGAGCGAGTTCTTAAAATCTTATTGACAGTAAAAAGAAAGTTTTTGCAATAAGAGCAATCGTCAAAGTGTGTCAAAGAGCGAACAACAGAACGCTTGATAAATGGTTAGCTAATCAATTAATTAGAATACTCCCTCGGATAATAAAGTCGAAAATCACAAATAATTAACATATTTATGAGTAGAATTAATTTGGAAAACATCTCGTATTTTTCTTATCTAATTTTGTGTGTGTACATACACACATATTGAGAGAAAAATATCTAAAAAATAAAATCAAAAATCAAAAATCAAAAATAAAAAAACAAAAAATATTTAATGGATGTTAATAACATATTGCATTAAAAGAAAAAATATTTTAATTAAAAGTATAGTATTTTATAGGCTCCAATCATATATTTTTTTAATAAAATGCAGAGTTGGGAACGTTACTTCAGGAAAGTAACGTGTTACTGTCACTGTTACTTTTCGTGAAAAATAACTCGTTATCGTTACCATTACTAATTTTAAAAAGTAACTCGTTACCGTTATTAAGAAAATAATGCTATTCGTTACTTTTCCTTTACTTTTTTATAATACTAAAATAAAATATGTAATTGACTTTGACGAAAATGAAATAATTGTTTTTAAGTTTAAATGTTGAGATAATAATGTTTTGTACGCGATAAATGTAAATTAGCTAGACTACTAGATTCTAGTGATCCTATTTATTGAAAACCTGCTTTTTCTATTCGCGTTTTGAGATACTCTCTCTATATGTACCATAATGCCGTTTGTTTTAAGAAGTTAAATGCTGTTATAAAGAACTAATAAACGTATTATAAGTTGAAAGGAGAAGCTCTTATTTTTCAAGGATACCAGTCACACATCGTAGAGAATAATTTACAACATTAAATTATAATTTTTAGTGTGACCAGTTTATCTAAAAAGAACAAACTACTTAAAATAATCAATAATCCTTACTCGGAATTAATATTATTTTATGAGCTTCATTCCATTTTCTTATTTTTATTATTCTTTACACAAAAATTATTGTCGGTACAGAACTGGATTTTATAATTTGACTCTTAAAAATTTTTAATAAAAAGTATGCTTAGTTTGAAATACACACTAAAACTACACTAAGGTTTCTTGTGAAACTACACTAAGCATACCTAGATTTTACTGCTAATAGTATAAACTAATGTAAAAATAGTAAATTCGACAAGCTACCGAATATATAATATAAAAAACATGCAAGTAATTACAATACCTTTTTAGTAAACGGTCAAAAGATGCATAATATTTACTTTTATTGCTTAGATATCTCTATTAAATATATAATGTGCTGGTCGCGCGCTAATAGCGTATATTATATATTCTTGATTGTATAAAAATATCTCGATATTAGCTGAAAAACGTCGTGGTTTTATCTTATTCTTTATGTAAAAATAATTTAGTGCAAAGTCGGATTTCATTAACTGTTAAAAATTTTTAATAAATTTAATAATATTAGATTTGGCTTATATCTAAAATAGAAGAATTTTGTGTTCAGTTTGATAAATTCTATCTGCACACAACAAGTGTAACAATAATTATCAGAAACTCTGTATATTTGTTTAAAAATATTATGCATCTTTTGACCATTTACTAAAAAAGTATTGTAATTACTTGCATGTTTTTTATATTATGTATTCGGTAGCTTGTCGAATTTACTATTTTTACATTAGTTTATACTACTAGCAGTAAAATCTAGCAGAAAGCTACTCTTGCAGAAAACATTATAAAATAAAATAAAATGAACTATAATCTTGAAATATAAAAAGAAAAACTAAAATCATTTTCACATATTTATGACGCTGATTTCTCGTAAGAAATATTTCGTACATGCATGACAACGCTCCTATTGAAGGTATTGATAAATATTTAAAAAATATATGCGTATTATTTACAGGATTATATCTGATATAATACTACAAATATTTCGAAGCGCTGTATGGACGAATTATGGCTTTTCTTTAAACGCTTCAAAGCGTTTGCAGCATCTAATGGGTCGTACTTATAAACACACTGTTAAGACTCCGCGAAATGACCAGTTTCTATCGTCTGCATTCCGCAGTGGTTACATAACAATTAATGGCGCCACCGTCATAAACGCGTTCGTTCGATCAACGCGCGAAACATTCGTAAAGCTGACGTCATACGATGGACGATTTTTCTCCTTCTTTCGCAGTGAAATAATGCGAAACAAACGCCGAAACGAAAAAACATCGGGAACAACGTGGTGTATAAAAATCACGCGAAATCACTTCCAATTAGCGTGTGAGAACAACGTTTCGCCCTTCAGTTAGATTCTCGATTCGCGCAGCGTGGCGATTCGTTGTCGCGGCGTCTAGTCGCGTGGTCATTTCCGATGTATACACGAGAAGCACTAGTTAGCACACTCACCAGGTTGCAATTTTCCGTGAATTGATGGAACAATGATGATTACCAGCAAAGCGAGAAGAACGCAACGGAGAACGTCAGCCGGTTGCATCTTGCCACTGGGTCGTCGGAGGCTCGTGTCCTTCGTAGAGGTCGTTGCATCCTTTGTCTCCTGCTGCCCCACCTTCTCCCACGTTTCTTCTTTTGCAGCTGATGTGGTCCCTTCTTCGTCGTCTTCCTCTTCTGATTCTCTTTTTTGTCTACCTCCTTCTCCTCTTCTTTCCTCGTCGAAACGTCTCACGTTTCTGTCGCGCTCGGCGAAGCGCGCTTTTTGTTTCCCTTCGACGTCGAACTCGACGGCACAGATTTTATCCACTCGTCGGATTATTGCAAAAGTGTGCGTATACGAGCGACCGTCTCTTTGCGCAATTATCTTTCCGCTTGCCGGAGCCTAACGACTGCCACGGAGTTTAGCTCAAGTTCCGACTCGTTTCTCACCAGACAGAAATCCACGTCGTTCTTTCAAATCGTTTATTTTTCTTAGCTATTTGTTAGATTTTATCCTGTGTCACTTCTTATATTCCTGCATTCTTTTATGTCGTTCTTGTACGTGTAGTGTATATATGAGTGTATATGTGTGTATATATAGAGAAGATCAGGGCAAGATGCTACACTTTCCAAAATTTCAAAGTTATATTCCCCAAAGTATAATCGGTATATTCTTCATTGTTAACTGATGATTTATTTACAAATATAACACTACAATTAATAAAATATCGTTGAAAGGATTAATTAATAGATTGTTCCTATTATTGATGCACCTCGCTAGCACAGACAATATCATTGCAAGCAAGGCGTATTGAAACCGTTAATTTCACAAATGCAGAAAATTGAATTTGATATAGCGTATAATAAATTTGTATATTACAGATTTTACAATGAAATCTTACTTTTACTCATCAAAATCAGTGCAAAATAAGACAAAGTAGTAAAGTGGCAGTATTTTCTAAAAATCAGTGAGTATTCAGTAGTCGTGATATAGTCTCTTTTCTCTTTTTTTCTGATTCAATCAAAACCATTTTTACTGATCCACTTTAAGAAAGCAATTTTTCAGACAATTACAATTATCGTGGTTAATTATATATAAAAATTGTACAAACAATCTTCTTTCATGTTCTTATTCTGTAAATATATTTTAATATATTCTGTAAACCATATATATATATATAGGATGAGTAAAAAGTTCCGGATTGGTGAAATATCTCGAAAACTAAGCATTTCCGAAAGAAATGTTTCCTACAAAAGTTGTAAGGTTTTAAATGATCTATTCACTGATCTGGTTAGTCTGATCTTGGGTGGCGTCGCCAAAGTCAGGTCGAGGTCAAATTTGCTTTTTTAAATAGAAAACATATATTTTTTTTATTACGGAATTTTATTCTACGTAAAGAAGCAAACAACTTTTGTTTAAAAAATTTTTTTATACAACCTCTATTTTCTAAGATATTTACAGAAATATCTACAAAATTATTGGTTTTAATAATTTTTTACTCAAATTCTATCAACTTTACCGAAAAATAGCAAAAATTAAAAATTATCTTCTTCTTACAAAAAAAATCTTATCGAAAAGATATCTTATAGAAAATCTTATCTTATAGAAAATTCTTATCTAAAAATTATTTTCTTCTTATAGAGCTCTGAGAATTTGTTAAAAACTTTTTAGTACTTCAAGAAAATGCAAGAAAATTCAGTATTAAAAAGTTAGTTAAAAAATTCTGAAAAAATTCTCAAAGTTCTATGGAAATAAAATAAACAATTTTTATCTCTTGCTATTTTTCGGTAAAGTTGATAGAATTTGAGTAAAAAATTATTGAACTCAATAATTTTGTAGATATTTCCGTAAATATCTTAGAAAATAGAGGTTATAAAAAATTTTCTCAAACAAAAGTTGTTTATTTCTTTACGTAGAGTAAAATTCCGTAATAAAAAATATATGTTTCTGTTTAAAAAAGCAAAGTTGACCTCGATCTGACCTTGGCGGTGCCATCCAAAGTTAAACTGTTAAAATCAGTAAATAGATCTTCCTAAGCCCTATAACTTTTATTTAAAACAATTTTCTGTAAAACTTATATTTTTCGAGATACTTTACCAGTCCGATACTTTTGCCACACCCTGTATATATATATATATATATATATATATATATATATATATATATATATATATATTTATATATTTATATTTATATATTTATATATTTATATATTTATATTTATATATTCTTTTTTGTAATAACTGAAATATATAAAGAATACCGCAGTGTGACCATCTTTCCCTGATAGTGGGTCAAGTCGAGTAGCAACCTAGGGTTAGAAGGGCACATATAAAATATATGTGACTTTGTATCTTAAAAAATATTCTAATGTTTAAAATTATTTTGTAATGAATAGGGTTTATTGTTGTCGCTTTGCTTCACAAAAAAATGCAAAAAGATATTTTCGATAGTTAAAATGTAGTTATTTTTGTTTTTTATTTATATTATCGTAAATTATTTTTTGGGATGAAAAAGTTAAGTTAGATATAAAGTAGTTAACTAAGCGCCATGTTAGTCTTAAATTTTCGCTAACTTTACCTCATCTGTCCATATAGTCAATTTCAATAACTGTATGAATGAGAATTACTTTTACTACCTATGAAAGAGTGTATTATTCACTTGCACAGAAAATTTCATTCTAACTAATAACACCTTACTTAAGTTTATTCACTCATGATGAAGAATACTAAACATTTTAAGATGTTCAAAAATGTATACAGTTGCTAAAATTGATTTTCTTCATTTTTTAATTGTAATATTACTCTGATTTTAATAAAACTCAGAGAATTTTATCTATATTCTAAAAAAAAATATTTCGATACATTACTTTATAAATGTGTTAAACTTTTTTTAGAAACAGACGTAGGCCGTAAAACATGGTTTTTATGTTCCTTATTATAAAGTTATAAATATCCAAAAGCTTCTCTTGAGAAATCTTGTTACTGATACTTGATACATCTAATACATCGATTTCGCGGTTTTTTTTCCACTGTTCTTCTCACTATATCATATATTGCTTCACTTAAAAATAAGTTAATTTTGTAACATAACAAAAAAGCAGGAAATCAGTTTTTTTCTTTTTATTTACCTTGTGACAATTCCTATCGCGCGTAATCAAAACGTTGTGTCTGAGAACCAGATTATTTCCTCAACGGAAAATCGCTTGTCAAGTGACGCACATCAGCGACATCGACACGTGTCACTGCGCTTTCGCTAGGCACCTGCATACGACTGAACATGATGTAACGATGTCGTACTCTCCTTTGGTGCAAACAGAAACTGTATGCGTGAAATTGAACTCGCGTGACGACGCATTGCTTTCACTTAAATAAATTATACGATGTGTCTTTCTGCGTGTACAGACGATACCGAGCAGAGCGGAAGACAAACTTGTTCGTCCGTGCAAGATAAGGCAGATAACAAGTGTGTCAAAGACGAATTCTTTTATGTAAATATATCTTCCGCATATGCTGTATGCTTGACATGCAATTTCTATTATTAAAGTAAGATTTTCAATTGATAAAAGGATAGATATTGTTAAGATAGTAAAACAAAGGCTACGTTTAACAAACACAACAATGGAGTGAGCGTTCAGTAATCATATTTTTTCAGATCTATTATAAATGAATACTTTGATCAAAGATAATAATTGCTGCGTTCAGCGGAACAAAGCGATCAGTGAGCAGTCGGTAATTATAGATCTCTAAATTTAAACCAATTATGTTGACGAATTACTCAACCGTTGTGCAATAGTTGTGTTCGCTGAACATACCGCTCAACAATCACTCAACAATTACAACCGTTGTATTTTCTGAACACATCCAATACGTGCATCCAATACTACAACCACATACTGAGCGTTCAGTGAGTTCTTGGATCTAATTTTTACGTTTAAATCTTAGTGAAATCTAAAAATATACAAACAAATTCAAGAAATCACTGAACACTTAGTGAGTATATATTTGATTAGTATATTTTCTTTTTAATTTAAAAGAAATATGTCAATCATATGCAAGATCTTACTAAGCGTCAGTGAGCGGTTGTACTTGAATGCACATAATAAATTCCTACTTAATAGTTCTATAAATATCTTGGAGTCTTAAAACGAATAAAAAAGTCACTCGAAACGATTGCGAAAATACTCTCACTCAGAACCGTACGAGTAAGAGTCGATTTGTTAATAATAGATTAAAGTTTAAAATCTATTCTAATAATATCCTTTGATATGCTTAAACAGAGTCTAACTTAAGTTTAACCGTAAATTACTATTGAAAAATCGGTCCTAAAATGTTTCACTCAAGCTTAAAATAAATTGTAATTCAATGTGATGGATTTCTATTGACCAGAATGAATTTATCCTTTTGACACTGGCATACATAATATTCAATCTTCTATTTCGAAAGAAAATATTTATTAGTCGATTTAGAACGAAGAATTCACACTATACGAATGAAAAATTATTTGAATTCAACTAACTCGGCTATCACTTCAAAAAAATTCGAAAAAAGTTTCACTTAAAATATATATAATCTACATAATTAAAATAATAATTAAATGTCAAATTAATATTTATATAATTTACTGATGTAATTTAATATTGAAATCAAGAAGAGGACTGCTACCGAACTGTAAAGGTACAGAACACACAAACGTTGCATAAAAAAAGGAAAGGACTTTACCGTTGTATAAAAAAAGAAAGGATTTTACATTAATTATGAAATACATAAGAGACACACAATCTGTCTCTCTCTCTCTCTCTCTCCCCCTCTCCCTCTCCCTCCCTCTCTCTCTCTCTCTCTCCCTCTTCTTGCCTACCTCCCTTTCCTTCTTTCCTTCTCTCTCTCCGTCACACCTTCTTTCCTTTCTTTTTCTCTCTAAACTTTATTACTTTTAAAAATATAAAAAACATATATACGTACCTGATATATGTAAAGCTGAAATTTATGCGAAGAAAGATAAATAAGAGTAGTATTTTTGCGAAAAATAATGCAAGTTAAATGCGTGATGAATTAATGGAAGAAAAACGATCCATTATTTTCTTTATTATGCCACGGTCGAGAATGAATCTCAATTTCCTCCGACTCGATTTACTCATGAACCAGTCGGACGAGTTTCACGATCGTTACTCCAGTATTGAATTAAATTACATAAGCTCAAGAAGTATATATAAATCAGCAATGCAGTAAAAACATTGCGATTACATATTCCTCATTTCTTGCATCATTTTAGAGCGACGCACATATTAATATGTTTGCTAGGGTTTCCTCCAACTTTAAAATTAATCTTTGCACTCTCCACTCGTCAATATTTGATGACTAATCCTCGCGACTTGATAAAAACATGTCTTTTTCTCGACCGAAATATATCATATACTCTATAACCGGTATTTATAGCCAGATCTTATATTTAAGACAGTCTTAAATTCATTTTCAGATGATGAATCATTTCATTGGCTACAGAATATCTGAAAATCAATTTATGACCGTGTTAAATATAAAACCTGACTATAAATACCAGCTTATAAATTTCTTAGAGTAAAATTTTACTCAAAAAATAGAGTGACCATCTTATATTGGAATTCGAGTGATTTTTTGCACATATAATATGTAATCGAAATTGAAGAATCAATCTGATATAATTCATAATCACAAGATCATATTTACTCTAACTGACTAAAACATTCGTTCCATATGGAGTCAGAAATTACTCTTATAGTTAACTTGAATAAAATATTCATTCTTATGATATCGAAAGGCAATATTTGCACTTTTTGAATGCAAATATTGCTATTTTCTACTCGTTTTGAATGAGATTCCAATTCAGAAAGAATACAGAGAGTAAAACATTAAACACAATAATAATGAATGCAGACAAAAGTAAAAAGGAGGTGTTGACAGATTTAACTCGCGCGGTCTAAGGAGCATTATTAGAGACATCTATAAATTCCTTAAAGTAAAATCTTATTCAAAACGAATAAAATACACTTGAAGCAATAATGAAAATATTACTACTTTTCACTCATTTTGAATGAGATTCCACTTTAAGAAATTTAAAGAGTAACACAACGGGGAGAACAGGATAATGAATCAATTTCGCACGATTCCATCAAGAGCTGCATGTTAGAAAAACACAGATATGCCGCGGGGCGATTACTTATAACATATTTATTTGTAATGTTTTATTCATATACTCCTTACCGTAGACATATATTTATATCGTATGGCAGCATATTATTATGATATTGTATAATATAAGTGAGGTGTGGGACTGACAGAACGATTCATTATTTCTTTTATTACTCTCCGCGGCCGAAGAACGACACACGCTTATTCATTGCTCCCTCTCCCTCTTTCACATTCTCTCATTCTTTCACTTTTTCATTCTCTATCTATCACACACTCTCTCTCTCCCTCTCTTTCGCTTTTCCTATCTCTCCCATTCGTACTCATTCATACTAATCACTCACTCCCCTAACTACTTCATCCACACTCTTATTATCGACCTCTTTTTCTCTCTTTCGCTCTCTCCCGCTTGCTTCTTCGCGAGTCGACGAAATCGCCGAAACAAGCGCTCTTCCCCCCCTGCCTGTCACGGTTTTCTCCGCAACTTTTTCCGCAATCTTCTCGTTCTCGCCGACGCGAACTGCGCGTTCCGCGCGCCCTGTCGGCTAATCGTCGATTCTCAACGCACTCGATTAATTAAAATGCGTCGCGCGCGTCACACACGCACACCGGCCGCACGTGCGAACCACCTCCGGCTACTAATTACGATTATCGTGCCGATAATCGTTATAATAATTATGATATATATAGTCTCGTTTATATTACTCGCTCGTAACATTATCTCATACTTATCTCTCGCCTAGTTAAAATATCAATATACATTATAATATACTCTAGTAACGATAATGCAACGTCGTTAATTTATTATACTTTGCAACTTAGAAAAATAGTCCTGGCTAGCCGCGACCGCGTCGCGTGCGCTCTCTCTCTCCTTTCCTCTCTCTCTTCCTTTTCTGTCTATCCGACTCTCTGTCTTTCCTTCTGCGATCGATTCTTCAAAAGCGGTCGATATATTTTATTACATGCGTGTGTGTATACAGAACAATATACTACATATTATATTTATATATATATATATATATATATATATTATTTTCTCTTTATCTCTTTGTAAATCTCTCTCCGAGTTCTCCGCGATCGTCGCGACTTGCCTATGGAAGAAGTAACCGGGAAGATCCTCTAATTGACTAAATCCTCCGTCGATTCACCGATCGAAGCCGCGGATTCGAGACTGTTCGCTCGTTTCCGAGACACGGAGGAAGCTCCTTCGAAATTACTATGAATTCTATCAACCCCCCTCGATCTACTTCGCATAGGCAACCGACGATCGTTCACTCCTTACGCACAAACGCGCAGCTTCAGTATGCCGTATATTTCTCCGTTATGCGTCTACCCTCTTCGAATTAACGTCGTATAACGAATGGGAAACAATATGAAAAAATATGCAGATCTCATGTTAATTAATTCTACAATTGTCGTTTCTCATTCACGATTAAAATTGATTCAAATTTTGAGTATTTACGTTCACATATGTTATTTGTGCGATTTATATTCTCAGTGGAATTTTGTCTTGCAGATGGTGAGAAATTGCATTTGAGGAAAAATAAAAAATTGAAATTTTAATTCCACTACTGGCCGTTTCGTCGTGTATCAGATTACGAACGGCGATAATACCAAGCCTGCCCGATTGTTAATTTTCAATCGGAACTAGCAGCTCCAGGCACAACAAAAACTTAAGATGACGTCCGAATGACTAAAAAAAGTCACTTTTCGATCATAATTCGGTAATTTCCTCATCATGTCAACGTCATCGTGATTTTTTGTTCTACTTGGCTTATCAGGCAATAAGTCACGATGCAAATTACGATGGTTATACGATTCATACGCATGAATATGATCGCCGACACACAGCTCACGATTACAGCAGCGCGTTGTGCTGTCTATTGAAAATTGTGGCGAAATGAAGATCGATCGTTACAGCAAAGGAGGCGATTAACTTTTTATCTTTTGTGCTCGCTCTCCGATCGCGAGTGACCCGACGCGGTCGCGGTGCAATAAAATCTATGAAAACAATTAACGGAACAACGGTAGTACTACCCCTTTGAAGTTGTCACGCTCTACTATATCTACTGTTGATTTCTTTCTTCCTTCCCTCTTTTTTTTTTTTGCTGTTTTCTTTCTTTACATTCGGCTAACGAATCACTCGTACTTCACGTACCGCACGGACATAACATCGACTCTTTAAGCGTCGCTTAACAACACGATAGTTAAGCGAAAAACCGGAATCCTACGTATGATATTTACGCATCGAATATCTTCGACGAAGCTCTCACACAGGCTAAGAATTGAGAAAAGTTCGTTTTTTTCTTTTGCTCCTTTCTCGAGCGCACTCGCGAAAATCGCCCGATCGTCGAATAAAGAAGTTTCTTTTGCTCCAATAACGAAATATCCATTCGATTTTTTAAATCGTCAACTTAACTAATTTAACAACGATCAAAAACGTCCTATGCTATAAAATTTCATCTAAGTAACCTTACGCTCGGCGCAACGCGCGACCGGCAAATCACGAAAAGTTTAACAAAACTTCGCCGTGATCTTTCCCCGAGAAAAAACGATTGCATACAATTATAACTGAATATTCACTCTATATGATCATATATAATCATACGTAATCGCGTAAGAGAAAAGTTAGTTAAATTAATTTGAAATCTAGGCACATCAGACTGTTTAGTGGGAAATAAGCTATCCACAATAAATTATTCATAATTCTAATTAAGGTAACCAGACAAATTTGGTCGCATGCGGCAACTTCGGCAAAAAGATCGCTACAAGACTTTACGCTTTTACTCTGATAGATTTTGAACTTAACAACTCTGGATTGTGCAGTCAACTGTTCTTTACGCATTAGA